GACACTAACCTGCTCTGTGTTTATAACCAAAGAAGAAGACACTAACCTGCTCTGTGTTTATAACCACAGAAGAAGACACTAACCTGCTCTGTGTTTATAACCACAGAAGAAGACACTAACCTGCTCTGTGTTTATAACCACAGAAGAAGACACTAACCTGCTCTGTGTTTATAACCACAGAAGAAGACACTAACCTGCTCTGTGTTTATAACCACAGAAGAAGACACTAACCTGCTCTGTGTTTATAACCACAGAAGAAGACACTAACCTGCTCTGTGTTTATAACCACAGAAGAAGACACTAACCTGCTCTGTGTTTATAACCACAGAAGAAGACACTAACCTGCTCTGTGTTTATAACCACAGAAGAAGACACTAACCTGCTCTGTGTTTATAACCACAGAAGAAGACACTAACCTGCTCTGTGTTTATAACCACAGAAGAAGACACTAACCTGCTCTGTGTTTATAACCACAGAAGAAGACACTAACCTGCTCTGTGTTTATAACCACAGAAGAAGACACTAACCTGCTCTGTGTTTATAACCACAGAAGAAGACACTAACCTGCTCTGTGTTTATAACCACAGAAGAAGACACTAACCTGCTCTGTGTTTATAACCACAGAAGAAGACACTAACCTGCTCTGTGTTTATAACCACCAAAGAAGAAGACACTAACCTGCTCTGTGTTTATAACCACAGAAGAAGACACTAACCTGCTCTGTGTTTATAACCAAAGAAGAAGACACTAACCTGCTCTGTGTTTATAACCACAGAAGAAGACACTAACCTGCTCTGTGTTTATAACCACAGAAGAAGACACTAACCTGCTCTGTGTTTATAACCACAGAAGAAGACACTAACCTGCTCTGTGTTTATAACCACAGAAGAAGACACTAACCTGCTCTGTGTTTATAACCACAGAAGAAGACACTAACCTGCTCTGTGTTTATAACCACAGAAGAAGACACTAACCTGCTCTGTGTTTATAACCACAGAAGAAGACACTAACCTGCTCTGTGTTTATAACCACAGAAGAAGACACTAACCTGCTCTGTGTTTATAACCACAGAAGAAGACACTAACCTGCTCTGTGTTTATAACCACAGAAGAAGAAGACACTAACCTGCTCTGTGTTTATAACCACAGAAGAAGAAGACACTAACCTGCTCTGTGTTTATAACCACAGAAGAAGAAGACACTAACCTGCTCTGTGTTTATAACCACAGAAGAAGAAGACACTAACCTGCTCTGTGTTTATAACCACAGAAGAAGAAGACACTAACCTGCTCTGTGTTTATAACCACAGAAGAAGAAGACACTAACCTGCTCTGTGTTTATAACCACAGAAGAAGAAGACACTAACCTGCTCTGTGTTTATAACCACAGAAGAAGAAGACACTAACCTGCTCTGTGTTTATAACCACAGAAGAAGAAGACACTAACCTGCTCTGTGTTTATAACCACAGAAGAAGAAGACACTAACCTGCTCTGTGTTTATAACCACAGAAGAAGAAGACACTAACCTGCTCTGTGTTTATAACCACAGAAGAAGAAGACACTAACCTGCTCTGTGTTTATAACCACAGAAGAAGAAGACACTAACCTGCTCTGTGTTTATAACCACAGAAGAAGAAGACACTAACCTGCTCTGTGTTTATAACCACAGAAGAAGAAGACACTAACCTGCTCTGTGTAACCTGAGCTGAGGGTTGTAAACAGCGTCCAGTAGTTTCCGTTGTCGCTCGTTCTCCTCTTTTGAGTGACAAAGTTGCTCCTCGTACTCTGCTATCGTTCTTTCAAACAGCCCAAATATCTCTTCATCAGCCGCAGTTAGTCGCTGCTTCACCAACGCTCTCAGCATTTGGACTTTACACATCTTCACACTCTGATAACAGACTTCCGCTAACAGCTAGCACGCCAGGCTAACTCCAGGAGCTGTGTCGTCGGCGTGAAAACACAGAGGATCGGTCAGAGCTCTCTCACACACAAACACAAACACAAACACAAACACACACACACACACACACACACTTCTTGACCAACAAACACTTTCCGCTGATCTTGCTTACGACCGAGAGATAACAAAGGAACTTCCGGTTCCGCTGTAACTTCGGCAGAGGGTTTAAAGCTTCCGGTGCTACAGACCTTCACAATAATACTCAGCGCTTTTTACAACACAGTGTTTGTTATTTTAACTGCATTTATCAATCAATAAAATTTAACTTCCTCCACTTCCTTTTATTTTATATTATCAGTAGTATTATCATCATCATTTTGTTAATTTATTATTATTATTAACTCTGTCAGGCAGTGGAAAGGAAAGGACACTCTTAATTTGAAACGTCTCCAAGGAAGTGACAGTGTGACCGTGATTAGCAGTGTTAGCAGAGTGAACCGTTAGCTGGATCTAAATAACGGCAGAAAAACAAACCGTCAGAGTTTAGTTCAGTAACCGGAGCAGAGATGGACCCACACCGGAAGCTGCTGCCTGACGTCACGGACGAGGCTTTAAACACGCGAAGAAGAAGAAGAGGTTAGTTTTCTCTGCTGAGCTCTGCTGCTAACGATGCTAAGCTAACGTTAGCTGGTTTTCAGGTTGTGTCT